AAACCGAAACTATTTCGTCCACCTTTATATGATTGCAAGTTAGGAGTTGACTGATCTTCATAGAAGTGAAATATTTTGTCATATCCTAAACAAGTTGCAATTGATTGGGAAATCACCACTTACACTACTGCGATATTTTCAAATAATAAGTCGGACGTAACTAAAGCAGTGAACAGTGGTGCTCTGTTTCAGCTATTTTATAGTGAGCAAGCATTTATACGAGTATAAGAAATATTTGGACCATTAACGTGTTACGTGTTGGACCACTTAAAGTATATAATATGTTCATATGTATTTACAATAGACACAAGTATATATTAGTATTTGTAGTATCTAAGTTAGTTTCTTGAAGAAGAGGATTGCTATACTGAATTTGAAGGTTTCTTTCACAACAACTTCAAAAAATTAAGAAACAGAAGTATGGATGTGGTCAATAATCTTTGATAGGGCATTCTTCACTTCACGTTAGTTATATTAAAGGTGCCTTGTGAATGATATAAAGTTTGACCGATATTAACAAAATGGACGGCAAATTTTATAAATGAGTTTGTGACTGATGCAATTTTGATAAAATTTTGAGATAAATCAGCGACTGAACAAATTGTACTAAATTAACAAGATTTACCTAATACTATTTGTCAGTTCTAGATCACACAGTATAGAAACCTTAAATAATACTAAACTAATAAAAACTTTGATCACGTTGGAACCACATAGCTTTCCACAATTATTGTAAGAACTGTGTGTAAAGAGCTTTGAAAAACTTATAGAATTAATTAAATATTTATCATAAATTATGGTTGGGTATTATTTTTGCGATTCAGCTTTATTAATAAAAAACAGTTAATTGAAACAATTAATTAAAACAGTTTGGGGTGTATTGATGAATCAAACAAATGAATTAAATGATGATTAAATGATGATTAAAAGATTAAATTGTGTGCATGAGAGATAACAAAATAGAATTGTATATAGAAAGTCTCTTACGAAATTTCATTTCCTTCATCGGTACCCTCAGAATTCTCAAATGCTTCATTTGCTTGTGAAATTGGCACTTTGTGACCTCACTACATTTTAATGGAAGCCAAATTTCTTTAAAAATATTCACTTTGTGTAAACAATTTCGAAATGTTTGTGTTTTGAGTATAAATACTAAAAGAATTATTTATACTCTTGTTTGGTATTGGGTAGTGTTGTTTACTGAAAGCTTCATTTCCATTCCCAGTTTTATCGGTTTTTCTTGTGCATTAAAAGACGTGGGCTCCGAAGCGAGCACTGAAAGTGCCTGCCCCGATAAGAAAACCTCGAAAAAATTGTAACAAAACAGATTTTAAACGTCTTTTGCTTCCAGAGTGTATGTGAGGCTTTGTTTTTGAACATTGTTGTTTTACGAACATATGTATGTAGTCCACAAGCTCTGGGAGCTCGGTTCGTCGTTCTTGATTAATTGCTTAAAGCATTGAAAGTATGCACAAACATACTTAAATACATTACTAATTTATTTGCGTTAAATGTTTTCGTTTGGGTCAATATTTTTAGCTGCTACTTATTTATAAACAAATTCGTACACAGTTGAAGATTTCAGGTATATAACCTGATAAACGAAAGCACATAGTATGCATTTATAGGTATGTTGTTGGATTTATGACTCGCGCTTGTTAAAAGGCTTTACATAAGGCTTTGCCCCAGGCTTTACAAAATTCTTTCTAATGTTTTAAGCATTTCCATTAATGAAAAGTTCAAAAGATGACGTTGGTCTATATAATCGCCACAAATGCGGAATGTGTAGGAATGTGGAAGCTTATATTAGGTGTACTAAAAAGAAATCCATTATTTTCGCAATATATGTTTTTAGTTATTTGTATCTGTCAAAAAGTGAACACTTTTGTAAAATTTTATTCACCGTAAATTTGGTCGTTAGTTTTTAAAAAACATGGGAAATTTTGGGTGAACGATAGCAAAATTTTAATATGATAATTATTATAAAATTGCATTATAATTTGTATAATGTGTGCCATTTTGTCTACCTATTTTTTTTTAATAACTGAGTTTATTCAGTGTACATACAGGTTTCTTCACTGACAACTAACAAACATGCATTCAGCACGTCTTTATTTTACATTCAACACGAAAAACTCACTAGAACTTGAGGAGTAGCATTTTACAAGAAAGCGTAAACTGCGGTGAGAAATGAGTTTTTGGTTTCCGTGTACACAACATTTTTTTCACAGTTGAGGAATCGACCCCAGATTTTTACATTTTAGACGAATAGTGTTTATGGTCCTGATACTGTAACAGCCAATCAAGCGCAATTTTGGTTTCGCCGAATCCGTTAAGGTATTTTCATAATTTCAATGACAAGGATGCACCATCCACTGGAAGGTCAATTGTCAGAAATTTCGAAAAAATCGTGAAAATTGTCGAGTCCGACTTATCGAGTCATGTAAGCACTGTTTCGATTATTCATGAGCTAAAGACTGTACAAGAAACAATTTGGAACCATTTGAAAACCGTTTGGCTGGATACAAAAAGAAGCTCGATGTATGGGTGCCGACCTGCCGAGTCATTTAAGCACTGTTTCGATGACCTATGAGCTAAAGACTGTACAAAAAACCATTTGATTCCCATCTGCGAATCGCTACTGAATAGCAACAAAATCGACCCATTTCTGAAGCGGTTGGGAGCTGGTAATGAAAACTGGATCACTTAAAACAACGACCAGTAAAAACGGTCGTGGTGAAATCACGGTTAGCCAACTGAAATGGTGTCTAATTCGGGATTGGCAGCCAGGAAGGTTTTGCTGTATGTTTAGTGGGACTGGGAGGAAATCATCTACCATGAACAAAACTCTTAACTTGGAACTGTACTATCAGCAATTGGACCATCTGAAGGATTGTCTAGAATAAAGCAATCGCCTAGAAACGGCCAGTTTTGAGCAATAAGAAAGAAATTGTGATAACTATCTGTTCCAGTCCATGGCGAACGACTTTTGTTTTGAAAAATTCGCTTCCATAGAGGCTTGTGAAAATCGATTGTCTTAATTTTTGTCAGTAAGGACGAGAACTTTTATGGGAGAAGCGTGGTGAAATTACCTTCAAAATGGCTGTAAGTCATAATAATGGTAAATAAGCTTTCAATTTCATTCAAAAATAAATATTTTTACTACACCTATTATCTGTACTGAAAAGCTCATTAATCATATAATTAACTACAATGTCTTTGTAAAATTGGATTATGTTATAAAGCTGCTTGACCATTTCAATGATGGTTGTACAGCTGGATTTTTACAGTAGGAATATATATTGCTACAGCTAACGGCTTTGTGAATTCTACGACAAAAAATATTCAATATTGCCATTCTTTCGCATCATACATTAGATCATACTGAGTAACACACATGCGCACGGCGCAGCTGCGTATACACTGCGTGCTTACGACAGGAAGTAACATGCGTTTTGCATGTTTGTATTCGTTAGCTTTAATGCGCCATTTGTTTAGCCACACTTAAATGCTGTCTAGATATGTTTGCAACTGACTAGTAGCGACTGTTG